TAATAGTAACGGGGACCAAAAATATAACCTTAAACTTTTTTGGGCCCATAACCCTAACCCTACCCTCTTAGTAAATGTGGGACATAGCGACATATCGCATATTCGATAAATTATAATTCTCTATAATCAATTAGCTTTAAAATGATATAAATTTAGAAATACATGTAATTATTATAAAAAATTTAGATACATGTATACAGTCAGACCTCCCTAAGTGCATGTTCTATAATGCACAGATTATATAAATTCTTTCTAAATGCACGATATAGCTTGGTCCAGCTTATAAGAGCTCTATGTATTTTGCTCTCTATAAATGCACACCCTCGCTAAATGCACTTTTTATAGTTTACTATGGTCCGGGGGGTGCACTTAGGGAGGTCTGACTGTATACATAGCCTGAAAATTTCCATTTATGTTTATATAATTTTGGACTGGGCGTTACTTTTTGGGGTACTGTACATGTATGTAGTGCGGTGTTAATACATGAATTGTGTTACCTGATCAATTAGATCAATAAAATGATAACGATATTGATAAGTAAATGTACAATATCGATATGCATAAATTGGGTACGTACATGCACATGTACGTATTTATAAACGTAAAGGAGTACGACCTATGTTCTCGGATGGTGCAAATTTATTATTAAAAATGTTGGGATCTTATTCCAGAAAAACAGACCAACAGCTGAGTAACTTCGTTACTCTATTATCTAGAAGGTGACAACAAACTGAATATTTTGCATTTTCAATACTACAGCTTTTTAGAATACCTTAAACTTGATGAGTGTCTTAAACTTAGGATAGCAGAGAATAAAAAAACTTGATAAGAGATGGCAAAAAAGCATTCCTACAAAAAACAACGGATCCATTCAAATGTAATTTACTATAAAATTAATTTAAATTCCAAATGATACAGGTACTTTCTATTTCGAAATATAAATCATATTGATAATTCATATTAATTTTTTACAAGTGTCCGTTTGTATGTTTAAAAGTTACTACAGCATTTAATCTTGTTTTTTTATTAAGTTCATTAGTTCATTATTTTTTCCAGAAAATACTATAGAAGCAAATCAATGAGTGTTTATAATTGGTATTACTTTATTAAATATAGAAGTTGTATATCTTAAAATATTTTTTTGCGCATAGCTTTAACGTATTTGACTACTAGTGTCAGTTATATGTTCGAAACGAAGCAAATGAAGGCAAGTTCTATTAACTATGCCAAGACTGTGATTATTATTTGATTATAATTTTCTCCTATGTTTTTTATAAAGTCAGCATATGTCAAAGACACAGAAAGTTTAAATTTAAGCTCGAAAAAACTAATCAAACGCGATGTCGTTATATATCGAATGCTATTTTCCATTTGTTCTAAAGAATGCTGTTTATTATTTCAAGATGATATGTGCCAGACGAATTGTGAAGCTAAAACTTCGGTTAATGTTACTCCCCCCCCCCCCGGCGGAGTAAATAACGAACACACCCTTCACCACATTGGACATTATGATGCTATACGCCTTTTCGTGATACATTGAATAATCCGAATCTTGTTTATGTAACAGTAATCTCAGGTTCACTTTAGCAGATATATATGGAAATTCCTGAATGACTTACCGTTACCGTTACCGTTACGTATTTTCAATTGTGCACAAGATTTTCACCGTACATGTATTACCGGGTACTCTTTCAAATACAGTGTCTTTGAATAATTTAATTCGTGAAACTCCGTAACGATAATATCATTTCTTTATCTTGCTATTTTTGGATTTTCATTTGAACAATTCGTCAACTCTTGATATATCGACACAATCAGCATAACGATACGATAATACTATTTCTTTATCTTGCCATTTTTAGTTTTTCATTTGAACAGTCACAGCCAGTACTGTGCAGTGCATGTAAATATCGATACCAAGAGTATATGTACGTATGGTGCGCCCAGCTTAGTCACATCAAATACTTTGAATTGCAAAGGATTTTTTATATGTCCTTTAAATGTAGAAAAAATACGTCATTTAATAGTTTTTGATAAATACCATCAAGTAATGTATTTTATTTTAAAGTTATATATATATATATATATATATATTATTAAGATACAATTTTAAATAATGCATTTTTAACAATTTCAGCATTAACGTTAATACAAAAAAATAATCACACTTATAATAAATCTGACCAATCATATTCAATTGTATAATTTTCAGCGCTTTTCGTTTTGATGTGACTAAGCTGGACGCACCATATAAGTTTTTTCTATAAACTAATACATGTACTATGAAATAGATAATAACAAGATTGATCTAATTATAATATGACCAAGTCATTATCACTTCTTATTGTTTCTATTTCAGCACTAATTGTGCTAAATAGCTACATGTATTTGAATTGAACCTACCTATCACATGCAATGTAATTAGCATATCATGTACACCATACCGATACGTACTATTTAATGTGATATGCTGTTTTATATTGCATACAGCAATTTGAAACAAAATTTTGAGTTTAGATTTCCAGCACCATATGAACATGAATTTATAGACATTTTCTAATAATAAATTTTGCTATATATCTTAAATTATCAAGTAATATATTACTAGCTTTTTCATGATAATTATATTCACGCAAGTCAAAATGCTTTTTAACGTTAGACATTTCAGAAGTATTAAATCAAAAATATCCAGAATTTTAAATTGAGTAAGAAGATATGATGCACATTATCTAAATTTATCCAACATTTATATTTATAAAATATAATTTTCGATGACTTTAGATATGTGACCACATAACTAGAAATTGTTAATTTCAGAAAGTTTGAATTCAGTTTTCTGTAATTGTGCTTAAGAACTTCAGGATTAATATTACTTCAATAATCTAATTTTTAAATATAATCTCAACTAATATTAAATAATTTGCTATAATATTTGTTGGTTTAAGTTGATTCTTTTGGTGTATTCTTTCTTTTTGAGTCTTATTAGTTATAAAATTGATAAATTTGCTATGTACACGTATACATAATGTATACATATAGGTTTACTAACAAAGTAGTAAAATAATGAATTACATGTGGTGGGTTGATTAATTAAATATATTTTCGCTGTATATTTCGTAGAATTTAATTATGACTGGTACGGAAACTAATTATCTCGGGATTCGTGTAATTGTTATTCCTTCATTGTCAATCATCTATGATTCATTATTTTCGAAAGGATTTATATTCTGGTTGCATTCATTGTTATGTCGCTTCTGATTCGACCGTACAAAAAACCCACAATCTCATAACTACAATATTTCTGGTGTTTATGTTTAAAAAACAGTACTACAGATGGAATAAAAAAAATATACGTACACACACACAGACACAAGTACATGCACAATATGAAATGGGTGATACCGGTACGTTACAACGCAGATAAGCTTGTTTGTGAGTGATGGTAACACGTGTGCAAAATACATGTATAACGTATAAAAAGCTAATGTAATCCGTTGATAAATAAAGACATGGACTTTGAAACCTTGATTCGTAATCATTATGTCGTCGCGTTCTCATCCAAATATAACTCGTAGTCAAAATGGATCATCTTCTGTCATGATTGAACTTCCAAAAAGACCAGCAAGACCAGCAATTTTGCTCATCAAACGCATACAAATTAGGTTTGTTGATCGAATTTATCGTTATCGTTATTCAGTGTTTGGTATTTTTGCTGATAATTTTTTAAATCTAGTGAATTGCAGAATAGAAATGAAAGAACCAAAAGATTTTTACCGTTTGGATCAAATTCAAAGGCAAAGTTGGAATTTAGTATAGATAGTGAATGTTGCATGACTACTGTTACGGAAACTAAATTGTAAACTAGATCTTTATTATATGCCAATTTCGATATCGATATGATAATGATACGTATTCTATCTTTTAGTAAAAAGAAAACTACTTGGTCTGAGCACTTGACCTTTGACTTATCGCCTTCAACAAAAGATATTTTATCAGTCAAATGCTATGATATGAGCAAAGGTGGTAACGAAGGATTTTGTGGGGAAGCTGAAGTAAGATTAAGTTCTTACAAAGACCAGAAAAATAAAGGTGAATTACATAATGACTGCGCTTACGAACAATGCGATTGTGCCTTATTCATCACGATGTTCTTATTTATTCTATGACAGTGAATGTATCATTGGTCAATCATAAAAAACAGGTCGGACGAATAACTTTCAATATTTATTTTCTCTCCGGGGTAAGAAAATTTTTGAATGTAAATAAACAAATGTCCTTGCAGAATGAATAATTAAGATTAAATCAAATATCATAGGATCCACCAAAAGATGTTGATCTAAGCTCACACGACGAATCTTCGTCGTCGAACGATAAAATAGGTGGCGTATTATTATTGAAAGACATTACTTGGTAAGAATAAAGTTATTAATAAATTATAATTCAATCGGTTGTGTGTGTATTTTAAACGTCTATTTTCATGTTGGCAGTAAAGGAATGAGCAAACGAGGACATTTGGAATTCGTTCTCAATGATGGAGCTAAGGAAACGACTGAAGACTACTGGAAAATGTCACCAGAGATTTGTGAATACGCTGTAGCGTTTAATCTGAACGTTAAAAAAGTAAAATTATGCATACAATGTCAGTTCAGTGCACTACTCACTGGCTTTGCAAAAACAAAATATGAAATCAAGTCCGAAGCTTGGAGAACATTGATGCAGACGGGAACAATCAAATGTCTGTTTTTCCTGTTCCTTTTCGACTGGTATTTATCTAAAGAATGAAACTAATCAATTATTGATTTAATTGAATGTGTAGCTGGCGATCTGTCATTTGTAGAAAACGGCTTTGATGATGGATCTATAAAATTTAGAGTATCCTTTCATGCTTTAACTACCTTCGAGGCGATCATCCAAGAAGATACAACGACAACGACCATCACCACTATCGCTATTCCAATTAACGCTAAACAAAATGAAGAAGCACAGAAAAAACTCAACGAGATTAATCCAAAAATAGAAACAGAGCAAATTACAAAAGGTATAATAGAAATTATATTTAATCTTGTAAAATTAGATCTTCATTAACATGCTATTAATACTTTGGATCTGATTACTTATAGTAGAACAGAAAAATATAAACAGGACTATTGAACCAAAAGAAGAAACAAAGCAAGTGGAAACAAGTGTAATAAACGACGAAAGAGACCTTAACGAGAACAACAATAATCAAATTCAAAATAATAAGGATTTCAAAACAGAGCAAATTACAAAAATAGAAACAGAGCAAATTAAAAAAGGTATGATAAACCTTGTAGAATTAAATCTTCATTAATATGTTATTAATGATTTTGATCTGATTACCTCTAGTAGAGCATATAAGTAAGATTATTCCAATTGAACCAAAAGAAGAAAAAAAGCAGGTTACGGAAACAAGTCAGGTAAATGACAAAATAGATCTTAACGAGAGCAACAATAATCAAAATCAAAATAATAATGATTTCAAAGCAGAGCGAACTACAAAAGGTATAATAAAAATTATATTAATCTTTTAAAATTAAATATTCGTTATGTTAATACTCTTGATTACCTCTAGGGGAGCAGAAGATAAATAAGACTATTCAAACAGAACCAAAAGAAGAAACAAAGCAAATCGTGGAAACAAGTCGATCACAAAGAATATTCAATGATAAAAGAGACCTTAACGAGAGCAACAATAATCAAAATCAAAATAATAAGGAGTTCATCCAATGTAATTATTATTTTTATCATGCATTTCTTGTTAAAAACACCCTTCATCACCATTAATATATCTGTTTATTAAAAAGACCAATTTGAAAAACAACAATCACCTAATCAGTCGCGGCGTAACACAATTTCTTCAACAACTTCATCTTCGAGATATAGTACTAGAACACATACATCATACGCATCCCCTCTCGAGACGAAAATTGTCTGCTCAAGATATTTAATATTAGCTCCGGTTGAAAATAATGTTCCTACGACTAGGCAATCTGATCAAGATAGAAATCAATTATACAAAGGCCACGATATTTATTGTAACTCAGACCAGGTAATAATAAAAGTGTTTGCGCGCCAAACTTCGTGGGAAAATGAAAGAAAATTTCTTTGCAGTTTAAGGTCGAAATATGTCGTAAAATGGTTAAATATGGAAGTCAACCGTTCATTAGACGGCTTTGTGTCTATTACCTCCTATGCCGGAGACAATTTGGAAGTAAATAACTTTCTATTTGAAGATTTAATTTCAAAAAATCAAATATTGTTAAGCATATCTAGAGCAATTGAATTTCTTCATGGTGCAAAAGTTGCTGTAAGTATAAACTATGCTATTTACTATAATTCAACCTATTGTAATTAAAATCTCAATTCTTTTTCAGCACCTCGATTTAAAGCCGACAAATATCATTTGTAAACCGAACAATGCATATAAGATACGTCTGTGTGATTTCGAATCGGCAAAAATGTTCGGTGACTATTTGCAATCCAATTACTTTTGCTCATATGGCTTTAGTGCTCCAGAGATCGTGCAACGTACCGATACTATTCAAGCTAGCTCCGCTCAAGATATATTTAGCCTGGGCTGCATTTTCTATTTCATTCATACGAGTAAACGCATTTATGATAATTTCGAAGATTTCAAGAATTTGACATGTTTTAATCATGTTCATGGTGATATTTTCGACGAGCGAGCCGCAAATATCATGTTACAAATGTTAGATTTCTAAATGTATCCAGACAAGGTCAGAATCTTAACGATTTTAAAAAATATGTTTGGCATATTTTAACAGATTATAATCAATTATAGACAGATTAAAATCAATTCTGTTAAGCCTCTTATAACTAGTTGTTACTATCAGATTAAAAACCCTTATATTTTAGCTGTCTAAAATCTTGATTCTATATTGTCAAAGATACAGTATGCAAATTTTTAAATATATATTTGATTAGTGTTGGAAACTGGAACAACTGGAGTACTAGAGTTATAATTCCAGTACAAACAAAAATAACTAGAGGTATAAAACTACAAACACTATATTTGATGTAGACAGTTTTTTAATTACAATATAAAATCGAAACTTTAATTATATTGCAGATAACTCAAAAACAGCCTTTTAATATTAAAAATCTGAAACTATTATAAAATAAAAATTTTGAGATATCTATTTAAATACAAATATATAAAAAATTATTACTTTATTTTTTACTTCATTGATCCAATATCTTTCTCATTGATGATTTTTCATATATTATAATTTGAGTCTTGGATCCAAAACTATAGTGATAATATATATAAATGTAACTGATAAATCTGTTTTAATATAATATAATTATAGTTTTTAATTGTATTATTTGTTGCTTTCTATAAATAAATAAATAAATTCTAATTAAAAAATTGTAATAAAATTAAATATAAATTTACTTTAATTTCTTTAGAATATTTAGATATTTCACAAAATTCTTTTAGCTTGCTCTATATGATATTATAAATTGGTATTATATAGAAAAGTGTTCTAAAAAACACATAATATATTTAATATATTATATATAGAGAAATAGCATTTCAAATTTCTTTATTATTTATTTTATACTTTCTTTTTCTCTTTTGATCTTATTCTCTCACAAATCTCTCATATTATTATATATTTAAATTATTACAATTTTTATAGAAATTAATAAGGACTTATTACAATTTCTATAGAAATTGATATAGGACTTAAATATCTTTTTTAAATATGGTGCACAAAATCTAAAATTATTAAATATTTATATTTTATAAAATAAATAAACTTCTTTATTAAGTAAATACAAAATTTAATTCATATATATATTTAAAAAAGATCTATTCTATTATATTTACAAATTAAATTTTGTATTTACTTCTTAGTAAAGAAGTTTATCCATTTTATAAATACAAATATTTGATAACTTTAGATTTTATGTATTATATTTTATTTATTATTTAATTTTTATTTCCAAGTCAGATTCAAGTTTATAAGCTAATTTAATTATTAGTATACAATCTTGAATAATTTGTTTATTAAACTAAAATTTATAAAGATTTTATAAGTTATTAAATAGCAAAATATTAATAAGTTTAGTATATTAATACAAGTATTATCAATTCTGATAGCATGCAGTCTTGCAAAAAACAGCTACACTCAGAGGATTAGATTTGAGACTTGTATATTAATAATGAAATAGAATGTTTTTCGTTCAAAAAATAAAACATCAATTTAAAAAATTTGCTTTGCTCCAAAAGATATTATAGAGTAATTTAGAATAAAATACTACATCAAACTCAACGCAAGACAAATAAGATAATTAAGGAAGAGAAATGGTATGATATTGCTTTTTGACTATCACGTGTGTTAAAAGTATATCAAATAGTATACAAGCTCGATATTCTAAGAACTAATGTTCTTATGTATCTTAATGAAATAGATTCAGTTTTGGAAGATTTAAACTTTATATTTAGTAATATTTTATAAGCTAACCATAATAGATAAAATAAATATTATATTAATTTATAAGAAACTAGCAAAATCAAATTATTAAATAAAAAATTTAGATTAACTAAATAAAATAACTTAGAGATTTATTTTCTAAATAAATAAATAAAAGAATTATTAAATAAAAAGAATTAATCAATAAACAAAAAGAATAATTAAAAGAATTATTGGAAAACTATAAAAATATTTGTTTTACAATAAATAAACTCAGCAAAACTAATCTTATAAAATATATAATTAATATAGAAAATAAAAATAACATATATATTGAGCTATTATATTTAATTAAAAGTTTATCTAAGAAGAAATTCAATAAATGTTGAATACTATAATTAATTTTTGAGCTAAAAAATTATAGTGAAAAAAAGTTTTGTTTTATTAGTTATATAATTTAGCAATATAATAAAATAAGTCTTTTTATATCCTATTATATAAATATTAATAGATAAAGTTTCCAATTTATTAATTATAATATTGCTTGAAAGATTAAATATTATAGATTTTTTATTCATATTGCTAATAAATACTAATAAATAGTTATATTATATATATTAATATATAATATATGCTAAAATTCTTGCTGTTTCAATTAAATTTTCAGTAAATGCTATACAATCATAATTTAGTAATAATTACTATGATATATTAAATCATCCAACCATTTTTTGAATTATATAACTTATTTATTTCTTCTTTATTCCTTTATTTATTTAACTAAACCAGATTCTAAAGCCAGATACTTGAAAAATGCGCTCTTATTTAATCATTTTCTACTTACCTGGTTGCACTTTCAAAGTTGATTTTTTTTAGATATTCAATTCTGAAGTTGCTTTATCTCAATATTAAATTTAGTTGCAGTTTTATTTTTAATATAATTTTTTTCATGATATATAGTAGCTGCAAGTTTTTCACGCGTGTTTATTATTGATGCAATTTTTCTGTTACTCATATACATTTTAAAGATTTGTTGAAGATATTGTTAAAAAATGTAAAATAAAATTATTTGATTTTATCAAAAATCTTTGTATTTCCTTACACGATTCAGAGGATATCCAATCATTGTCATTTTTGATAAATATTAATATTAAAATAATTAACTTGCAATTTGTGCAATAAAGATTACAACATTCATATTGATATAATTCACAATACAGAGCATTTGTGATTTGATTGGCTAATTAATTTTCCTTATAAAGTACTTTTCTTTTATAGTATCCCTATTCTCACACAGTATCCTCCAGTACTATTCAAGTTAGTATAGAGTTTTTTGAATTAGAATGGGAATATTATAGATAGTGCTATACAGTAATACTTGTGGATTCTGTATTGATATCTACATTATACAGTACATACTGTAAATTGTTACTGGAAGATAATAAATTTCATCAATCTCGTGATTTCGTTCATCTCAATTTTAATAATTCATTTCACCTATCCGAGCCTCTCTGTGTAATGTTCTGCATTTCCTAAATTAGATCCACTCCTGTTTTTTATTTTCATATAGTAATTCACTTTTTGTCTCCACTTTTTGCTGTTGTTTATTCATCAGTTTTTTACTGTTGTTTATTTATTCATTTTTTGCTGTTGTTTATTTATACATTTTTCACTGTTGTTTTTTCATCTGTTTTTTGCTGTTGTTTCTTCATCCATTTTTCGCTTTTGTTTACTATTTGATTTTCACTCTTGATTTTGTCAATCAACCATCTCTCACTCCCAAATTCGCCTTTTTGATGATGATAATAATTTTTCTTTTACAATTTGCTTTTCATTTTCGCTTTTGTTTCCCACCCATAATCGTTTTAATTTCATTTTTAACAAGAATACAATATGTAACAAAAAATGTATTAAAAGAATGACCCACGGACTACTAATAAAGATAGAATTAATTGCATACAATTCTTCTCCAAGTAACGTAACTCTGGTAAAACGAAATAATTGTGTACAATTCTTTCACCCCATAGTATAGCTTTTGTTAAAAGATTGACACAATTAACAATTAGGTCCTTTGATCCAGAAAAGGCATTGTTATTGATTAAACGGTATGTTGATTGATAGTAAAACACATTGTGTAGAATAGTTTAAAGCTTTTGTCTAGAAAAAGCAATTGTTATTATTAAATATTGTTAATAGAAGTAACCCATCACTTAAAATTAAAGAAAACCGACTCTTAACCTAAACACAAATACTCTAATATTACCAAACCCGACGATATCCGTAGATATCGGCACAGGAATTAGATAACGAACGAGTACAAATCAGCCTATACACTCTCTCCTCCTCAATTGTTGTAGATAAAATCGTTGATTACGCCTAATTACGATCTACGTACTTGCAACAATATCAATTCAGTGATCAATATACCCGAGTGTATGTAAAAAAAATGGTTGAATTAATTTACTAATTAAAATTTCAATATTCGGAAGCTTGTATCATAATAACCAACGTACTGATTTGGCCGAAACTTGCATGTACGTAGGTAGTTTTCATATTGAACATGTAGTCAGATTTTTCCTGGATCTTCCTTAAAAAAAAACTATTGAGATCAAAATTTCATTAATTAAAAAATCGTGTAGATCTCTCATGGGATTAATAATATTTCTGAGGGTGCTAGAATTTTTTTGCGTAAAACTTTTCATGATGCATAACTTTTGGCAACCACTGTATACAATGATTGGTCATATGGAATCCTTTTTCTTTAAATGCAGGCTTATGGCTGATCCCAAGGTGTCCATTTAGAAAAGTTTCTCTGGATAGAATAAAAATCATACTACTGATACAGTATTTTCTTGGAAAAGTAAGATAATTACATTTAGTATTTTAAAACACGTTTTAATAATTGCCTGCATTAGATACTTGTCAGAAATCACACTCATATAGTTTTATCATTAATATTGATAATGAAAATTTGCAAAATTATTAAATGACTTAAAACTAAGTAATAGCAAAATAAATCGATTTAACACACAAATAGCTACATAATTGCAACAAATACAAGAATAAATACTGTTTTTTTTTTCAAAAAAAAATGTACGTCAATTAAATGTTTTCGGAATATGCATAACATTATTATTAACGTTAATAATGTAACCGTACATGGGATGTTCATGCAAACAATAACGATAACGTTAACGGAAACCGCATAAATAGAAGTTCTATGAAGAACATAAATAATTAGTTTTATGTGCGTGTTGAATCTACATAATAACGATAAATGA